ACAAGGATGATTGTATGAAACATAATATGAATGAAGAAAAGTGTGAAACACAATGTATATGAATTTTGAAAGCACAATATAAAATGGGTTGGGGGGGTTTTGGTGTTTTTTTAGTTTATTTTAATTTTTTTAAATAATTTTAATGAACATTTACAGAGATTTTGGACTTCCATTCATTCATTGCTGCACTTCTCTCCGTGCCCAGTGCTCCCCCGCCCCACCCCAATTCGAGCCTCTCTTTGAAAAGTAAAAGAAACACTCCCTCCCTGGTACACCCTCCCACCTCCCCAAGTACATTCCACTATGCAACCTTAATTGTGGACTCTTGTGATAACCATAATACCCTATCACAAATCACTTTTAAATTATTCTCTCCCTCATCTGTTTCAGATACAATTGATACACAATTTATCCAGTTTTTCTCAGTCTTACCCCAACCCTGATATCAGTCCCACTTTACAGTAGTGGATCATGCAATATTTGCCCTTTTGTGACTGAGATATTTCACTCAGCATAATGTCCTCCAGGCTCACCCATTTTTGAATAATATTGCATGAGTTCCTTGTTTTTCAATGCAGCATAGTATTCAATTGTGTGAATATACCACAGCTTCTCTATCCATTCATTTGTTGATGGGCACCTGGGTTGTTTCCAGTTCCTTGCTATTATGAACAAAGCTGTTATAAACATGGGTGAGCATATATCTGCTTGCAAGTCAGCTATGGTCTCTTTGGGATATATTCCCGGTACTGGAATTGCTGGGTCAAATGGTATCTCTATTTGCAACTTTTTGAGAAAGGGCCATACTGCCTTCCACAGTGGTTACACCATTTTACACTTCCACCAACAGTGAATAAGGATTCCAGTTTCTCCACAACCTCACCAGCATTTGTTGCTTGCTGTTCTGTTAAATTTTGCTAGTCTTACTGGGGTGAGATGATATCTCATGGTTCTTTTTATTTACATTTCTCTTAGAGCTAGGGATTTTATACATTTCTTCATATACTTGTAGGCCATCTGAATGTCTTCTTTAGTGAAGCGTCTGTTCATATCCTGTGCCCATTTCTCAATTGGATTATTTACCTTTATCTTGTTGTGGTGCTCAAGTATTTTATAAGTTCTAGATATAAGTCCTTTATCTGACATGTCATTACCAAATACTTTTTCAGTCTGTGGCTTCCCTTTTTACCCTGTTGGAGAAGTTTTTGGATGTGCATAGGGATTTGATTCTTAGAAGGTCCCATTCATCTAATTTATCTTCTCCTGGCTGTAGATTTTTCAGGATATTTGGAAGACTGTTTATGTTGCGGATTAGGACTACTAGAGTTCTTTCAAGCTTTTCTTTAATGAAGTTTATAGTCCTTGGTTTTAGTCCTAGATCCATGATCCACCTTGAGTTGGTTTTTGTATATGGAGTGAGGTGTGGATCTTGCTTGAGTCTTCTGCAGATATTTTTCCAACACAAAGGATCTATTCAAAGAAAATTACAAAACATTACTACAAGAAACAAAAAGAGGCCTGGAGAAGTGGAAGAATATCCCTTGCTCATGGATAGGAAGACTCAATATTGTGAAAATGGCAATACTACCAAAGGTAATTTACACATTCAATGTAATCCCAATAAAAATACCAATCCCATTCCTCAGCGAGATGGAAAAGGTAATCTCCAGTTTCATTTGGAATGAAAAGAAGCCCCGAATAAGCAAAGCACTCCTTAAAAATAGAAAAAAAGGTAGGAGGCATCTCACTCCCTGATTTCAAATCCTACTACACTACCTTGATGGTTATAAGACAGCATGGTACTGGTATAATGACAGACACAGAGATAAATGGAATAGAGGTGAGAACCCAGAAATCAGCCCATCTACATATGGTCAACTGATTTTTTGACAAGGAAATGACATCAGTTAAGTGGGGAAATGACAGCCTTTTTAACAATATAAAATGTTTTAGAAGAACAAGATCAAATTACTATTATCACCATTGATTTTCAGACTTGTATTGAAACTTCTAGCTGGAACAAGTATTGTTGTTGTTGTTAAGTGCCATCGAGTCACAGGGTACTCATAGCGATCCTATAAAGGAAATTCCTCGACGCTTCGGTGCCTTTCATCCTCTCTCCAGGTTCACAGGGTTTCCAAAGGCAAGCTATTATGGAAGTGGATGCCACTCCTCCTTTCCAAGCTTGTTTTAATCGGGGAGCTCCACCCAACTCTTTGTCCACATTGGGTAGCCAACCATTAACACATTAGACACATCAGTGTCACAGTGTTCAGCCTCACAGCAACCAAAAGTGACCACGGTACAGCAACTTGTACACCAGAGCTATACAACCTAGAGGAATGTCTGAACAAAAGGGCTCTCGGGCCCTTTTGGGCTTGAAGCCCTCTGCTGCCTTAAACCCTACGCCAAGCCTGGCTTGCCTGGCTCCTGGATGCAGAGTGGTCCTTCACCAGCAAAAATTGCCACAAGAGCCATGCACAGAGCACCATGTTCTCTCTGGCAACCAGGTCACAGCAGCCCTGGGCAGAGCAAACCTGGGAGAACATGCCCGCCCTCTCTCCCCTCTTCCCCATTCAGGGCTTGAAGCCCTCTGCTGCCCTAAACCCTAGGCCAAGCCTGGCTCCTGGAGGCAGAATAGTCCTGCAGGTCCAAAAACTGCCATAACACCTGCACAAACAGCACCATGCTCTCTCTGGCAACCGGGCCATAGCAACCCTGGGAGGAGCAAACCTGGAAGAACATGGCTGCCATCTCTCCCCTCTTCCCCTTCTGGGCTTGAAGCCCTCTGCTGCCTTAAGCCCTAGCCCAAGCCTGGCTTGCCTGGCTCCTCGAGGCAAAGTAGTCAATTAGTCAATAAAAAGGAAAAAAAAAGGCATAGAGTTCATAAAGGAGAAGTAAAACTATATAACAAATGGCATGATTACATATACAGAAAATCCCCAAAATGTATCATTTTAATATACAGAAATCTACAATTTACATCTATATGACTATGATACATAAATACAGAAAAATCACAGGGCACAAGAGCAACACATAAAAATCGCATAAGTTTCTATACAGCGACAATGAAGAAGGTGAAGAATAAATTAAGAAAATAATTCCATTCTTTTGTTCCCTTGCTGCATGTCACTCTAAATGTTGCAAAACACAAGAACCCTGCCAACTCTTGTGTTAATACCATTACCGTGAAATAGACATGGGAAAGTACTAAAACCACGCCTCTGTAAGTCATCTGTACAGACTTCACAATGTGTAGGAGGACTTAGAAAAACAAAATCATTCAAGAGTCCTTGTAAAGAGTGTCTGTAAAGACATACCTGCTTTGTTGAAGTGGACAATTCCTGCAGGTAAGATCTAACTCCTAACTATGAGTACAGGATTTTCTCCACCTTATTTAGGTCTTTTTCATTTTTTTTCATTAATCTTTAAACTATAGTTTTCAGTGTACGACTGCAAAATTAATCTACATTCTTATTGCCTATGTCACCATAGCCTTGATACTAAGCCACTTCATGACTCTGTACTAGCAGCTGTCAATTCTACCTATGGTGAACAATAAGCCCTATGTCTATTGTTGTCACAGTGATAATGGTTGCTGTAGTCTGTTTTATGTTGGGTGTTATGTAAGCCAAAGTCTAATTTCTTATGTGAAACGATTGTCTAAGAATGTTCAAGTGTAACAATATATGATCACCATAGACCAAGAGAAGTCAAACTTATTGCTGTTGAATCAGAACCTTAGCTGACTGTCAGCATGTTTTGAGGAGGCTGTCACACAAGAGGAGAGTGTACATCTTACTCCCATGGAGTTGCTTGTCTTTGGATTAACAGCACAATTCCATATAGATTTTACTACCAGAGCTTATTAAACCAATATAGTGCTGCCAAAAATAAAAACACTCTACTGATGTTGTTGGGTTTTTTTTAAGAGCTATTTTCACAAAAGGACACACGAGCACCAACATGAGCCTAACGAAAGTACAAAGACCCCAGGCTGCCATCCAAGGTTATCTGTTCTAATACTGACATGGTCTATTTTATTAACCACTGGAGTACCTTTGAATAGAGTCACTTAATTTTTGAGTGTCCCACTATCCTCACTACGAAATAGTGATCAGAATACTTAGTTTGACTTCCTCAGAGAGATACTGTAAAAATCAGGTGAAGTTAATAAAGTCTTATTTGTATTATAATAGCATTTCTATATTTTTTGAGCAGCTACCTACTGAAAAGCAAATTTCTATTAATTATGAGAGCATTAAGAATGTTTGAATACCAAACAGAAAATAAGAATTTAAGGTTTTGGTCTACTAATCAAATGACACTAACTTATAGACTGTCTTATAGACTTTCCCTTTTATACTACCCTAGTTATGATGACCTACCTACAAGTCAAATTAGATTATGTATGTGAAAATTCCTTTGAATTTGAAAGATCATTGTTAACATAAAATACTTTTCTAATCATTACTTATATAATTTAAAAATTCACCAGTTTTATAGCTGCTGGAAAAAATATATATATTCAACACAAATTCACTTAAGAGTCCTTAGCTTACTTCAGTCCTTGTAAAAGACTGATTATCTGCACTGCTGAAGTGCACAATTCCTACAGGAAGATCTACCTCCTATTTATGAACACAGAATGGTTTGATTTGGGTTGGTTTTCAACTTATTTAGGTCTTCTTAAATTTACTTTAGTCATATTTTATCATTTTCAATGTGTGAATACAAAGTACATCTACCCTTATT